TTTTTGACAGTCGGCCGAAGAGGCTGAACACAAACAGCCACGCAGTCTGCGAGTTAATAATTGTGCCGCTGCCGTTAACGACACGTAAACATAAAACCAAACTGTGGCAGTGAGTGTCTCTGTCACTGTGTGTTGGCCATGACTTTTTGGCCACATTACAAACTGCGTTACTCACAGTCGTCTCATGTTTGCATATAAGGTTAAAGTAGATTTTCAACAAGTTAAAGGGCAGTATAGAGATACTTAAGCTAGGCTAACGCAACCGTGCATGTCGGGGGCTGTTGCAGACATCAAATAACGGTTCAAAAGACGAATTAAGATATCTATTACACGCTAGGTTTAAATGGTCATTATGATTTTACTTTTGTTTTTAACAGTAATAATAATTAGGGGAGAAATACTAATTTGTTTATTTTTATTTACAACTTTAACACTTAAATAATTTTTATAGTATTTCTTAAATCAGATAAGAATATTAAATGTATTCACACTGATTATTTAAAAAATTGCATTGTTCTTTGGAATAAGAAAAGTGGTCGCTTTTATGAAGAAGACACCATACTTAATATACCTGTTTAGATTATAATCGAGTAATAATTATATTGCAGTTGAAAACCTAACTGTATGATGATGAATTATATATAACTCAAACATCCACAATCCTGCTGCTGAACTAAAGCATGGTGTATATATTGTTTTGCTGTGCATGTCTATATTATACATAATACTGTCAATATTCCATGCATATACTGTATATATAACTAGTGATCCATCTGTTATTTGTTCCACAATTTATTGCACTCTGCACCATTGCATTGCAAATATAAATCTAAACACACTGTACACGTTGTTATTGTTTGTGTTACGTTGCTGTTGTCTTTTTGTCTATTCTGTTAAGTACATTGAGAACAAAGAGAAAAAAGAACAGCACAAATCCTTGTTTGTTTTCATATACTTGATCGATAAAGCTGATTCTGATTGTGATCACTGTTGGTCTGTTTTGGTTCCAGTTTCTTAAACAAATCCCTTTATCTTTCAGCAAAACAGAATTTCAGAATTCAAGAATCACATTAAGTAAATCTGTAACACAACTTAAAAGTCTACACTCTCTTTTTATGGTAACTACTTGGTTCCTATATGACTATATCATGTCACATGTTTGGGTAATGTTATATTTAGATATTTTATCAGTATTCTGGCTATTTATTGTCACTTCTTTTTTATTTGTGGAACTAAAGTAATTTCCTGCCACATCTGTAAAAGAGTACAAATAGTAGCAAAGAAACCAACGCTGTACTCTGTATTCTGTAGTGGTAACTTGCCTTGGCAGTGTTATATGTGTAAATTCCTAGTTGCAAACACAGTTAAGGTCTAATATTTCATTAACTTTGTATCACCCAATCACTTGGACACCAACTATAACATTTCTGTTTCTTTTATTTTCAAAAGTTTAATTCCTCAATAAAAAGATGTCCCCTACATCAGTGAAAGTTGCCCAGCAAAGCAAGCTAAAAAATATGTTGCAGAGTTACTTCTTGGAACAGGTTTGGTTGTGATGTCACCAGACATGCTCACTGGTGTGCACCTTAAACTCGTGTTATAGGCGAGACACTTTCCACCTACAACTATGTGATGTGAAAACTCTGAAAATGCATCAATTTGTATAGAGTTCAGGAGGGGGCTTTAAGTTACAGCTGTTACTTTGTGAGCTCAAAAAAAAAGAAAAGAAAAAAAAAAACAAATGCATTGGGAAACTCAAAATGTTGGAAGTCTTATTCTGAAAAGTTTTGTGAAGGGGAAGTAGTTTCAGTTGAATTTTAACCAAAACCAGAGACACAGAAAGTATAGGCGGACCTTGTCACGTGTGTACTTTGGAGTCATGTCAATATTTTGTCATCAGATGTTGTCATCAGCAAGTTGCTGGATGTTGTCCCAGTGTAAACACCATTTTTTCCCCCAAGGCCTGCCATTACTGAGCTACATTTAAGGACACAGGGTTCGCAAGGGAGGATGAACCTAAGCAAGTTGTGGCTCTTTGAAAATACTTGCTTTGCAGGAGGCTGGGTGGAGTCTATTCAAAGGAAGGGGTAAAATGGCTATTAGGTGGGACGTAAGGGCTTTTAAGTCTTTGTCCTGTTAACAAAAAAAGGAGAAACAATCTTGGCCATAACATTACTTAAGCTACTCGGTTAATAAAAATGTAAATTTATGGATGGTTCAAAATATTTAACAAGCAAAACATGGATTAAGACCACGAGGACGTCAAGAACAAAAGCATATTTGATTACTGAAAGATGCACGACAGGGATGTACTGAATGTAGTAGATAAACTGTAAACCACTGGATCACTGTTACTGTTTACAATGAGGATCAATACATTCAAGCTTTATTCTGTGTCATTAGGATAAATGTACTCCTTCCCACGTTTGTTTATATGGACTTAATCTGTCTTAAATTTTCTCAGAACAACTTATTCTTTGCAGTTATTACCGGTTAATTCATCTGCGCTGCAGTAACGTATCTTTTAACACGAGAATGGTGAAATTTGTGCCTGTTCCTGCAGTTTCTAGGGGCTTGTCGCACAAACGAAATCCTGCTGTTAAGTAATGCATGGCGTGACTGCGTGTGGGGAGCTGAAACACCCAGCTGAACAAGGCCTTTAACGTTAACTGCCGCCCTGCCCCCGTCCTTGGCCTGTTTTGAAACCGGAGTGGTGAGTCACTGCTCTCTCGGTTTAGAAAAACAGATCCGGCCAGGCTGGGGCCCGGCGGGGGGATGGGAAGCCGGCGATGGATGAACAGCGGAGGTGGACGCAGCTGGACTCCCACTCCCAAGGACCCCGACATCCTGACAACCGCCCGGTTGTGTTCCCATAGTGACCGCGGGGATGATCTGAGAGAAGGGAAAGCACCGCCTGAATTAATTGATATGCGCATCTCTCCAGGCCAGTAATCGTGATAGCAGAGTCAGTTGGCCATGTTTCTCATAAAAGGGGAAGCCCGGATCCCCCCCACCCAACCCCACAAAAAAACAAACAAAAAACGGACCGACCGCGAATTTACGTCATTAGGCCTACTCTGTTGCCATGTTTTGTTTGTTTTATTTTGTTGTATTTTTTCCTGGAGTTGATCAAACACGACATATACAGTGCATGTTACCCTGTTATTTTTGGCATACCAGAGTCATGTGTATCACAAGCTAAAAATAACGTATTAGATTTTGTATTCTTTAGCTGTTAGTTTGACTGCTCTTCTGTTACTTGCCAATTAAATTTCCCATTTTCGTTAATCGTTGATTGGTTGATTTTCGTAACCTTCTTGGCTATAGATGAAGGAGTCGTTAAAAGGGGTGTCAGTAGGTCAACCTTTTTCTAAACTTTTCGGTCAATGCGTGATTTCAGATTTTTTTCATGTATTTCATGTGTTAGTATCTTTATTTACATTAGTAAATACACCGTAGTGAATGTGATTTAGATAGATATTACATAGATAAAATAAAGTCTCTGCATTTGACACCGACTCTGTGTTACTATGCACATTATAATCAATCAAGTTATTTTTGGTCATTAAAGTATGCTCATAGACCTGTGCAATTTCCTCTGCCTTCTTGGCCAGATCTGTCTTGAAAAATAAATTTTTACATTTACCCCATCTCATATAAAAATATTAAGTTGAATTGTTTCATGTTCAGACTTAAACTTTAAAAAAATAAACAAGTTTTATCTTGTAAGAGCAAGGATTACGTTTTGCTTTATACCTGGTTAAATAAAGGAAATGTAGCAGTTGCCAAAAAAGATTCGATGTTTTACATGTGCGTGTTTTTGTTTCACATGTTGGCCGGCAAACTAATGAAAAACACAGCTAGTTGTTATTGATGTAGAATTTAGTAAAGGTTTTAAGAAGGAAGAAGAAACAACATATATAACATATTAATATATAACATAACCCATTTATAACTCCTTTTGCCCACATTCTGTATTTACTAATATAAGCAAACATATTACACATAAAAAACGACACTTGTATGCATTGTTATTCTTCCACATTTGACAAGGGTCAGAAACAGGAAGTCAATGGAAACCGCAGTACCCAACCCCGCCCACTCCTCCTCCCCTTTTGCCGCCAAAAACCCTTTGGCCTTTTCTAATAGGATAAATGAATGTCTCCATGACAATTGTTGCCCTGGACAACAAGTGATGCTCAGCGTGCTACCTCAGCAGCTCAATGCAACGCGGCAGGCGTACCAACCTTAGAGCCACCTGAGATAACACCAGCTTTGAGACCTTTGATATTTAAGGTAATATGTATTGCTGAAACAGTTGATACAACTTGAAAATGCAGTCTCGGTAACAGTTTGACAGGTTGTCAGCACTGTAGTTTACGTGTTAACCGTTAGATGGTAGTATCGTGTCCCTCACTAAAAGCACAAAGCGCAAGCGGGAAGAAATGTATTTTTTACAAATGTAAAAATATTCTTAGCAAAAATAAGAAGTGAACCCTGGGGCAACCTATCTCAACACGTGACTTCTGCAGAAAAGCAGACGTCACCTTTAACCTCCTAGCTATTCAAAAAACTTTATTGCTGTCCCAGTGCTTTTATTGATAAAGTTTGAATTTGAACCCCTGCTAAAATCATGGCGACGGATCAAACTATGCACGGAGTTCCCCCTTCATTGTCTGCCAGAGTGGTTGGGTAGGTTGACAGCTGATTACTTGACTTTATCGCAGAATTTTTAATAACCTGGGGATTTACGTTTCCTTATGAAAATGGTCTCGTAACGTCGTAGAGTCCAGACTAGCAATAGCATTAGCTTCCTGCTAGCTGTAAGTTGGCAGTGATGGTGTGTAGATATTCAAGCACAGGACGTCGTTTAGGTCAAACCAGAAATTTTATGGGTAAACAAAGATAAGCATGCGAAGGTAATATCACTCCAGGGAGTATACTTTTTGTATTCCACAAAGAAAAAGCTAAGCTTACAGATGGCTTATTAGCTAGTTAACTTGCAAATCAGTGCTGCAGTATAAAAGGGATTTATTCTTGGTTATATGTTTTCTCTGCAGGTCATTTGCTTATTTGACCGTTAGAGACAGACTACCCACCATCCTGACCAAAGTTGTTGACACAATTCATCGCAATAAAAACAAGTTTTTTGAGGAATACGGAGAGGTAAGACCACGTTCATTCAATTGAGGCAGTTATGAGGTTCACGTTAAGACTTGCGTTGGATTTTGCCGGTGCTTCCCCTTTATTTTCAACCAGGTGGGTATCCAGGCAGAGAAGCAAGCTATATCTCTGCTATCTAAGCTGAGGAATGAGCTGCAAACTGACAAGCCAGTGCTAGCACTGACAGACGGCCTACCGGACACAGATTCCTGGAACCAATACCTAGAGAGGCAGCAGAGACTGCAAGGTGACCAGGAGCCTGTCAGCTGGTTCAAGTCTCCCTGGCTTTACGTGGAGTGCTACATGTACCGTAGGATACACGAGGCGCTCTTGCTCAAGTGAGAAGCATTTATATGTTACAATGGAAGCTACTGTAGATGTAAACCCTGGAATTTTGTAATAACTTTTAGTATATTACTGAGGGATACTTTTATATACTGACAAAACCTTGGTACTGACTGATATAGTGGTGCATAGAAAAACAAAAACACAGTGGCATTGGTTAGTGGATAAATGATTTTGACCATCAACATCAACCTTGAGTTTCACAACCGGTGGACCTTCAGTAAATATGTTCCTCTGCCAAGGCTTGTATTTATCTCTTTGTTTGTTAGCCAGGTTAGACAAAAATTAACACAACTGAATTTCATGAAACTTTATGCAAAGGTACAATAGAAGACAAGGAAGCATCCACTTAGTTGTTGTGTAAATCCAGATCAGTTGCTTTGAAAATCTGAGCTCTATCTTTGGCAGAGGATATGCTCTCCAATTCCCCTTCTCATTTCTTTTTAGATTGTGTTTGTTTAGTTTTTGTTATGATTTCTGTTATGATTTTATTTCTTCTTTTATTTCAGTCCTCCCATCAGTGACTTTGATGTCTTTAATGAGGGAAAGACTCAGAGCTTTACTGAGTCTTCACAGGCTGTGATGTCCTTGTGTACGTACTTGGAGGGCATCAAGAACAACATAGATGAGCTGTCTAAGAATCCGCTGTTTGAGCATTTCAGCAAACTAATGCAGGTCAGTTCAATTTATGTCCTTAAAGCTATACATTTACAAGATTCTCAGTATGTAAGTTACTATTCTTTTTTTTCAATTTTCCATTTGTATTTATTTAAATTATTTATTTATTTATTTAAAACTTTGCTTTTTAGTATTTAAAAGTGAGTGATTCTGGCTACACCTGAGATGAATGGTCCTCTTGTGAATCCTTGTTGTGATTGGTAGCCTAATTTAAAATGAACCCACTAATACCAGTGGGATTAGACCTTCATAACTGCAATAAATGTGGTGCATTAGTTCTTGGAGATTTTATGTTTTACAGTATTCAGTTACTATTTATTGAATACATTTTGTGACTCTTTTAAGGTATCTCTGTGGGGAAACAAGTGTGATCTGTCAATATCTGCTGGCCAAGAGAACTCCCAGAAGACCAGTCCACTAGATTCCCTCTACAGCCTCCTGCCCTTCATCCTGGTGGATGACACCAAAAGGGTATGGTCAGCTCTTATTTCTGCGCAGAGGCCAAGGGATTCAGGGAAAAACAATGCAGACAGAGTGGACATTGTTCTAGACAATGCTGGCTTCGAGTTGGTCACTGACTTGGTCTTAGCCGACTTCCTGGTTTCCTCTGGCCTTGCACGTCAGATTCATTTTCATGGCAAATCCATCCCGTGGTTTGTCTCTGACGTCACAGCTAACGATTTTCAGTGGACCATTCGGCAGGCCATGGCAACCAATCACAAGTGGGTTTCCAAATGTGGTGTTCAGTGGCAGAGGTACTTGAAAGAGGGAATGTGGTGCTATCATGATCATCCTTTCTGGACACAGCCCCATGAGTTCTGCGACATGGCAGCCGATGCTCCTGACCTGTATACAACCCTGCAGGGAGCAGACCTGGTGCTGTTTAAAGGCGATCTCAACTACAGGAAGCTGACTGGAGACAGGGACTGGGAGCACACAGTAAGCTTTGAAACTGCACTGCGAGGCTTTGGGCCTGCACCGCTGTGCAGCCTGAGGACTCTCAAGGCCAACATTCAGGTTGGTCTGCAACCGGGACAAGGGGAGAAGCTTACCTCCCAAGATCCAAGCTGGATGACTAGCGGCAAGTACGCTGTGATTCAGTTCCACAATCCAAAGTCAGAATAGTAAGGTTCAAATCAGGAACTCACTTTGATGACATGGGTTTAAAAAGAAGCTTCATAAGCAGGCGATACCTTTAAACCACTAGACACTTCAGTTAGGGGAATTGTTAAATGCTGTTTACTAGCACTTCATCAAGTTTGATTCAGGAACGCGCACAATAATTAATACTCAGTAATAATTTCATAAAAAGCCATCTCATATCAAAATTTCACATCCTACATTTTATCCTACATGTGTTGTAAACCATGAATTTAGTCATACTGTTTACAGGTTAATGCTGCGAGCAATTACTGAGAAAAAACTGAGTATGAATTCTATAGCAGAAACAGTTTTGCATGCAGTTGTGAGAATGATGTAAATCTAACTTATAGTTTGTTTGCGTTTTTTTGTTGTTGTTGTTTTTCTTTCTTTTTTTTTATTCAGCTCAGGTTGTTTTACTCCGTGTGATTACAGCGAGTTAAGTTCACCAAAAGCAGATCATAACATTTTTTGAAAACTACATTGTTGTTGGAGCAGTGTAACAATAAGTGGCATGTGCTTGTTTTGCTTAAAATGGGAACCTGGACCTCTATCTCCATAGATAAAAGTGGATGTCTCTTTGCACATTGTCATGTCGTTTGTCACTTTTAGTAATCAACAGGTGATGTTAACTGGATCCCATAGTGCTGCTGGGTGAAAATGTTATTTTGATCATTTGTTTTGATTTAATAAATCACTACTATGACTCTGCTCTTTTTCCTTTTGTCGTACTTTACAAGCAAGAAAAATGTTTTGGTTTTTTTTTTTGTATACTAATAGCTATTTTGTTAATTTGTCCATATTGAAATGAATGCATTTCTGAAAGTGCTATAACTAAATTTAAGGATATAATTCCTCCACTGTAACCTTCTTGAATACCACGTGCCAACACAGTGCAGAGTAGCTGCCTAAACTCGACATTATTGTAAGGACTTTACCATTATTATATGGTCCTTTACCTTACAGTGTGAAGCACCTTGAGGTGACTGCTGTTGTGATTTGATCTTAAATTTGACCTGTATTTTAGGTCTTGCATGTAACAGTGTAACAGGAGAGTTTAATTTACATGTATACACAGCAAAATATAAAGACCCAGTTAACCTTAATGTTAAAACAATGAACAAATACATTTGTAAACACACAATCTCTTATAAGATAGTCAGTTCACCAGGATTGTGACTTTAGTCTGTATTTATAAGAGTGTTTTCCTGATGACCTTTCATTTACTCAGGTCGGGTTGGACCAAGAAAAATGGCCAACAAAACAGCTGGAAATGCTGCAGTATGTGCATTACAATTCAGAATGAGCTGTAACAACACTGGCATAATTTAGGCTGCTCTGATGCTTTGTGAATGTGGTACCTTATGAAAATGAGGCCTTATTACTGCAGGAAGCATCTTATCTTGAATCATTTAGGTGATTTAGCTGTTTCATTTCTCACCCTTCATTTTCTTTTCCCCTGGTGTAACAATGTCTTCATTTTACTCTAGGGAAAATAGAAAAAAATCATCAGGGCCACTTGTTTTCCACTTGACCTGACATGTCCTGAAAATTGGGCTGTTTACACAAGAAAGATGTACCACAGAGAAAGGAAAATTAGGGCTCTGTGTCAAGTTTTCTCCCCCACTTGGTGGTAGCCATTAATTATTGCATGAGAACATATTTGACTTTATAAATTTCTCACATAAATTACAACATGTCTCACTTGAGTAGCAAGAAGACGTGAATTCAAATGGCCCAAAAAATTTTTGTGCGTCTTTCTGTCATTGACTCTGAAATCTGTAAACAGTTATTTTTTACATTTAATTTTTATCAACAGTGGTTGGTCGGTCCCTTGGCTTTGTTTATGTACACATAGTGTTCTGCTTCGCCTGTGATTTGAACAGATAAAGTGATGATTAACTGGTCCATGCTGTGGATCTGTAACTTATATCAACCTTCCCCTAATGGAATGTGACTCAGAAGGTATCTTTTAAAATTTCTCTCAGATTTATTGGAATTTTTAACGAGAAGAAATAAATGTGAAGCATAAAAATGATTATCAATCTCTTCATTGGGGATTGATTGTGTAATTACTCGCTGTCAGAAAGAGATTTGACCTCCTGCTTTGTTTGCTGTGTTATGGTGACCTGGCACTTAAACGCACCACGGTTATCGATTTGGCTGTATCTTTAATTTGTTTATCCTTTTTTTCAAACCTTTCCACTGTTCCCATTGTGTCCAATGAGCTCAACTAAATGCCTGTGAGGCAAGCAGAGCCAGTACATTGTACAGCACATAGGAGGATGCTTCGTTTGTAAGTGGTGAGTAGTAGTATAGTAGTAGTAATGGTAGATTGTGGTTTTCTTTCAGCCTCTGCTGTTGTTGTTGTAAACTGTCCACAGTGATTTCTTTAAATCTCACTGGAAATAGACTGGCAGTACATCACATCTGTCCTGTGCTGCTATCGGCTGAACAAATAATGAATAAGCAGTCAACTTTTCTCAGCAAAACAGGTGCAACCAGTGACAATTCTTCCATATTACACAAATGACGAGTGGGAACTGTGGCACGCATGAGAAGACACGAGTTGTTTGTGAATGACTATTTTTTTTCTCCCTCTGTCCCACCAGCCTTTCTCCCTCTCACACTTTGGTGAAGATGTATTAGAAAAGAAGGAGCTGCTTTGCTGACAAAAAATAAATAAAATACGGGAAGAGTAGTTTAAAACTCTTTTTATTTTGTTCTTTTGGAGCTTAGTGACCAGAAGCTGAAGGCAGACACAAAAAAGCTGAATAACAGTGGAGCTTTCAAGTTGTCTGACAAGCTTTGTTGGAGAGAAGAGACCCAGAGAGCAAGTGAGGGGGAAAAAATAAAGAGAGGGAGAGCAACACTCCTCTCCACTCCCCCTCCCAACAAATGGGAGAGCCAGTCTAAATCATGTTGCTTATCACTGCTGTTGTGCTGTGATGTTGCTCAGGCAGAGCCCAGCGCAGAGCAGACAGCCGTGCGGACCAGTACTCAGACCCAGGGACAGCCCAGCCTCCTCAGAGCTGGAGCCCCACTCTCCAACTCGCGTCTCGCCATCGCTGTGTGCCCCCCTCAACGACATGTACCCCGAAGAGAGCCGGGGGTCTGGAGGGGTAGCCACTGTGGACTTCCTGGAAGGGTCTTATGACTATGCCGCCCCCACCCCTGCCCCGACTCCTCTTTACAGCCACTCCACCACTGGCTGCTACTCGGCTCCTCTGGACGCTCATGGACCACCGTCCGATGGCAGTCTTCAGTCCCTGGGCAGTGGGACAACCAGTCCACTTGTGTTTGTGCCCTCCAGCCCACGGCTGAGCCCCTTTATGCACCCGCCCAGCCACCACTATCTGGAAACCACTTCAACACCCGTCTACAGGTGAGGAAATGCAGTTTTGTTTTCTGGTGGAGAAAAGTGACAGGAAAAAAGTGAATGGAATTATTACCCCCTTCTGACACATTTAGTTATTTGTCTGGCAATGGCACATCCAGGGCTTGGTTTTGATTGTTTGGTCAGTTGTGTTTGTGCAAAAGTTTGGTGATTATGCAAGCGTAACATGATAAGTACAGTCAAAACCAGTTCATCAGGTATGCTGCTTCATTGTGACAGCTGTAGCTGCCTCTATCATGTCTTCATTATAAATTTTAGGTGACTATACCATAAAGAAAAGAATTAAGCCCGGTGTTTTCTGGCATTTATTTATTTAATTGGTGTGTTCTACCAGGGGACAGTAGAACAAAATATTACTGGAAAACTAAATTCAGAATTTGTAATTAGTGAATTATGGCAGTGACATTCAGTTGGGTCCTGTAAATGCCGTTATAACAGAACAATTATATAACCACATATGTTTTGTATAAAGCAAGAGAATAAAAACAAACTATTATCTCTGAGGAAAGGATCAAGCTTTGTCCTGGTCTCTAATTCCAGAGATTAAGGACTTTGTTAAGGACCTTGAAAAGGGAACAATACGTAAGAACAACAGACGCACACACACAGTTTGTTTCCTGCCTCAGGTGAAAAATAAAACTCCGCTCCTGCTGTCAGCTGCTGTCGTATTAAAGTCGTTCTGATAAGATTTGATTAATCACTAAATGACTTGCCTAACATTTTCAGGGAAAAGAAAATGTTCCATTTTTTTGGCAAAAATATCCAGATGTATTATTTGATTAACTCTGCAACTGAGCTTTATCTTTATGAAAACAAAAGAAATTACCAAATTAAAATTCATGGCGTGTTGCAGGTCCAGCCATCAGCCGGTTCCCAGAGACGACCAGTGTGGTACCCGTGATGAGGCATACGGCTTGGGCGAGTTGGGAGCTGGAGCTGGGGGGTTTGAAATGACCAAAGAGACGCGTTTCTGCGCTGTGTGCAGTGACTACGCGTCTGGATACCACTATGGGGTGTGGTCTTGTGAGGGCTGCAAGGCCTTCTTCAAGAGGAGCATCCAGGGTAGGTAGTCTGTCTGCTTTATCTGTTTGTCATCAGTAGATATAAAAGGATTGCGCTATATTTTGTGAAACACTACAGATCAACTACAGTTGATTAAATTAGGAAACTGTCTAAATCATGGGCTTTATTGTGTCTGTCATAGAAAATAACAGTATTAAAGAACACAGTGCACTAAAGTAATTGGCTTCTTAACTTTGAGTGCTATCAAGCAGAAAAGACATAGTGTCCTGTCCTTCAGCCAAAGACATTAAATATGGGTTAATTTATGACATGGAGAAATCTAAAGAACATTCCTGACAGGAAGTTTGGATGTTGTTGGCTCATTTTACAGAAGTGAACGACCTGTAATGTTTACAGAAAAATAAGCAGCCTAATTGGAGTTGAATACTGTTGGGTTAAAGGAGGAGACGGAGGGAGGACACATGTCAGAAAGTGGACATTGTGAAACTGAGAGACAATTTAGGTTTCAGTCCATTTATTTATTTTCATTTGTGAGACATCAACTGTTTTCCAAACTCTTTGTGCTGTTGCCCCTATGTGTGCAAACCAAAACTCAGTATGCTTGGTGTCTGCGTCATGTTTATGATTTGATGCGGTTTGTGCATTGATGCAAAGTCGTGCAATGAAAGAGCGCTCAAGAAGAAACCAATTGTCTCCATGGCAATGACAAAGCCAAGATGCCACGTTTTAATTTGCTCCATCTCAGATTCATTTAGAATGGGGAATAGAGTGCACCTGGCTACTAAATAACCTAAATCTGAACTGCACACTGAAGTGGGTAGCTGAAAGTAATAGATTTTCTTTCATCTCAGGTCACAATGACTATATGTGCCCAGCGACAAATCAGTGCACCATTGACAAGAATCGGAGGAAGAGCTGCCAGGCTTGCCGTCTTAGGAAGTGCTACGAAGTGGGCATGATGAAAGGAGGTGAGGGTGAACACCAGCAGAAGAAAGATTCTCCACCTTTTGCACGTTTTAATTTTTTGTAAAATTGTGTAAAGAAATTCTATTAATAATTTTTTTTAACAAAAATTACACTCTTCTTTATAAATTTAAAAACTGATTGTCTTGCTGTGGAAAAACTTGGCACAAACATGAGGCTGCTGTTGGATCCAGATAAGCTTGAGACTAACTTTAACATGACCTTGAAGAGATTTCCTCTTAAGGAGTACAACTGCTCAGTCACATTTTTGTTTTCATACTTCCTGAATCACTCAGTAGTCCAAAAGAATCTGCGCATCTGTGGTAAGACGTGACAAAACATGAAGTTATTTTTGAACAATGTGGGGGAAAGAGTGAAGTGATTTATCTACACACCCATGACTACTTGTTTGTTTTTTCCCTCTTTTTTTGTATCATGATGTTATTTCATCCTTGGTCTGTCCTCAAGGTATGCGTAAGGACCGCGGACGTGTTTTGCGGCGTGAAAAACGACGGGCCTACGACAGAGACAAACCAGCCAAAGACCTGCCACACACAAAGGCGCCCCCTCATGATGGAAGGAAGCATGCAACGAGCAGCAGCAGTACAAGTGGTGGAGGAGGAAGATCCTCTTTAAATAGCATACCTCCTGATCAGGTGAGGAAATAGTGAGCATCTACAGCAGGTTTTTATGAAAGTCCGCTATCAGGTTTTATTGATTTAGGGGGAAATTTTGATTGTCATCCAGGTGCTCCTCCTGCTCCAGGGTGCTGAGCCTCCAACCCTGTGCTCTCGTCAGAAGATGAACCAACCCTACACGGAGGTCACCATGATGACCCTACTCACCAGCATGGCCGACAAGGAGCTGGTTCACATGATCGCCTGGGCCAAGAAGCTTCCAGGTAGGAATTCATCTAAAGTATAGCAAAGAAGAATTTAAAGAAGCAACAATTAAGAATTAAGACAAGAGCAGCAATAGATAGTATCTAAGGGTGTTCATAGAATGGCTGTGTTAGTTTACCAGATACATCTTAGCCTGAAGTCTTCTTTGACTCTTTAGGATTTTCCAAGGATCTGGTGATGTTCATCAACAAAAATCCTCTCTGTAAGACGAAGAAAAAATATTACAGCACTGTAATAATTTATAGATTAAATGTCTAACAGGCCCTGAAACTGTGGCTTACATCACAAAATGACAAATGATCAGGTTTAGTTGTATGTGATGCCTTTAGGATCTATTTTAATAAAATGTTTCCAGTAATCATGCAAGTGCTACAGTATCCTATTGTTTATTGTTAAATAGTTATAGCGCATCAGTCTACAACATGTGCATAAATGTGAGGTCACATGCAAATTATGTGCGCCATTTCTTTGGAGCATCGTGACATCTAATAAAAAATCTTGGAAAAAAATCCCTTAATCGTGCACAGACGTAATGTGTGAAGTTGCAGTCGTGTGTGTGTTGTTGTCAATTTGACTTCTTAGGAAACAGCGAAGAGATGGGAGACCTCTGTAGTAAAAGTACACATAAGCCCCCCACACGAATACAGAGCCATTACAGAAATAGTAGTTACAGTCATCACCTTTGAGAGGATTGTTTGGTCAATCTGCAGGCACCCCATAGAGCCTAAATGCAGTATAAGACACATCACCCTTTTTACATGTGCTCTCACACACACACAAACCTGGCAGGGAGATTTAAAACCCAGATTTTGAGGCATTACAACCTTGTGTGTCACTAAAAGCCCAAAGATACCCAACTTTAATTGCAAAAGGTTCCAAACATTGTACAGGGGGCACAATGGGGGAGATTGGCTGTAATTATATATGAATTTAACTCAGCTGATTGCCAGCAATAAGGCTTCTTTTGTGAGCAGAGATTGCAGATGATATATTCAAGTAGATTTTCTCTGGCTTAAAACAAGAGTGTGGACGTTTTAGTCATTTTTGAGTGCGTTGAAGGTGAGCAGGAGACATTAATATTCTATTACTTGTCCTGGTTAAAAAGCACAGATATTCTGAGTAGACTTATCTACTTTTTTTTTTTTTAATTTCTGAGTACAGAATAATGGCTGAAACTACTAATGGCTAATATTTGTAGTGAAGATTTTTATTTTGCTTTTATCTGTGAGTCTTCTGGCTAAAGGCCTTATTTTGTTTCAGGACGGATGCTTCAAATGCTCAGAATTGTTAAATCTGCTGGGTGTGGTTGAGATTGCCTGCATGGTATCAAAAATTCTCATCACGACGTGCTTTGTATTTTGTGTTTCTAGGTTTTCTGCAGCTGTCTCTTCACGATCAGGTGCTGCTGCTGGAGAGCTCGTGGCTGGAGGTGCTGATGATCGGGCTCATTTGGAGGTCCATCCACTGTCCTGGCAAACTCATCTTCGCACAGGACCTCATCCTGGACAGGTAGCGAGGGATACTTCCCTAATTTTCACCTTGGTATCCTTTCTCATCTCGCTGTCCCTGCTATTCCAACCTATTTCTCTTTCTTTCTCTATCTCAGACACATCTTAAGGGTGATACATCAGCATTGTAAATTTTCCATTTCACACTTTGCCAGGCATTGTGCCATCCCAACATGTCTGTCACACGGTGAAAGACTAATTACATGTTCCCCATGGAGAGGAGAGCAGCCTCTTTCCTACCTGAAATACCCCGTCATCATTACAGTGCTGAGCTTGCAGCCAGGAAAGAGATTTAATCAAACCCTCAATACAAGGAATGATGGAAAATGAAGAAATATGGAGTGAGAGATGACAGTGAGAGAGAGATAGAGCTAAATGATGAACAGAGAGGACGAGAAAATAGAGATACGGGGGAGACACGGCTGTTTTCTGCTTTGCAGGCACAGCCTGTTCCCTCCATTTCCCGCCATGTTAAGAGTAAACAAGCTGGCCAAAGCACAGTATCTACCTCAGAGAAAAAGAGAGAGGCAGAGACAGATCGAGGGATGAGGGAGACTTGCGGGCAGACAGAGCTTTTACCCTCTGATGTGCCTGATGGTCCCATTTGATTCAAAAGTGTATTAGAGAGTATTATCTCTAAAACCTGGTCCCTGTATGAGTGTCCTCTCCAATTGGACTTGATGACTAAAATGCTGTTGGACCAGGGTTGGCAAATTCCCTCAGCTCTGTGCCATCCAACTTTAACTTGCACTCCAGCCACATTATCCATCTTTCCATCACCTTTCAACTGTGTCGACAAATGGAGCCTTGCAGCCATTCAGTCCATTAGTTGTTTATCTGGTTGCTTGTTTGATAGTTTGATGGTGCTCTTCTCCTTCTGCACTAAAGCGGTGATCTGCTTTTGTTAAAATGTGACTTTTTGGGTAACTTGTGTGATCTTGATATTGTTTTTCTTCCTGCATGACACATTAATTCATTCTGCTGTCCAGGACTGAAGGCACATGCGTCGAGGGCATGGCCGAGATCTTCGACATGCTGCTGGCCACAGCGTCCCGCTTTCGGATGCTCAAGCTCAAACCTGAGGAGTTTGTCTGTCTCAAAGCTATCATTTTGCTAAACTCCGGTAAGACACCGTGTTAACGTGACCTCCTTGTGGAAGCATTTCAAAAAGAGAGAGAGACCAAACTGATACCTGAAAACATCGAAGGACACTTCACAAATAAAAGGATCCGCTCCCTAGTTCATTTATTTATTTATTTTCTAATATCCACTCCGTTTTGTTCACAAGAACGCCACACCAAAGGTTTGTGTATCTGCTCCTGAGAGTAAATATTGAACAGTGTCAAACTACACCCACAGAGGTAAAGCTCTCAGTGCTGCGCAGACAGATTAGGCGAACAGAGCGTTCTGGAGAGATCTGTACCGTCAATAACCAATAGCTGTTCCCATGACAACATGAGACAGCACAGAGGGCTGTGTTTGCCCCGGAGATTGAGGTATTCTATAAGAGAAGTCTGAAATACCAGTGAAATGACACTACTGGCTCAGCTGCTGGAGCGGGATGAACTTTAGATTACTGAGATTGCCGTGCGTCATCTTAGGCATGTGGATCAGATCCTTTTTCAAATAAAAATTTAGACGTTTCTTCATTGTGAGAAAGCTGAGTATTGTTAAGGAAGCTCCATAATTTTCTTCTCGGACTCAACTAGAGGAGCCACGCCTTGATCTGAAACGAGCTGTTTTAGCGCGCCTTCCTTTAATGCTGCAGGCACACTGGGGAAAACAGCGGATGAAGACTGCGGCACAGTAACCAAAATTATTGTGGCGGCGTGCAATGATCTCATGATTTTGTCGCCTTTGAAATGGTTGGGGTCCAGATCCTGGACCACTCGTAGATGTTGACGTGTTGCTTTTAAGGCGGCAATAAAACCTCAACAACACGCAGTCAGTCTGCTATCAGTTTGCTACCGAATGGGGTTGAGTCGGCGATGATATACAATCTGTTTGTGGTAACACAGCAATTATCTTTCAATTCAGTTTTATTTATATCAAGCCAAATCACAACAACAGTTGCCTTTTAAGGTGCTTTATATTGTAAGATAAAGACAAACAAAGCTGTGTGCCTGAGATGACCAGAAATATCTTGTCTCACTGATGACATCATACGGAATGAACAGTAGAAAAAACGAAGCCTCTAAAACGGGGCATTTAAGTTTACAGTGACATCCTTATTTAAACTTTTCTGTGTTTTTTTGTGAATATTGCAAGAAAAACATGTTTGAAAAGATTAGTTCAAGAGAAAAAACGAACTTTAGACAGAAAGTTGGCAGTGAGCTGATGATGTCTTGGTTTCTTAGGTGCCTTTTCTTTCTGCACTGGCACAATGGAGCCCCTTCACGACAGCGCGGCAGTGCAACACATGCTGGACACCATTACCGATGCACTCATATTTCATATCAGCCAATTGGGGTGCTCGGCTCAGCACCAGTCAAGAAGACAGGCCCAGCTGCTCCTGCTGCTCTCCCACATCAGGCACATGAGGTAGAACTCAAAACACTGTGAGAACATTTCTAGTTTCAGTCGCCCTAATGTGATGGCGGTAACAGTGTGAGGAAGGTTTTAAACACATTGTAAAATCTAACAGAGACTCTAGGTTGCAGAATGCAGTGTTAGAAAGCAGGTGAGGTCACCATCTCTCTTTGGTTACACTCCCTGCAGCAACAAAGGCATGGAGCACCTCTACAGCATGAAGTGTAAGAACAAAGTGCCTCTGTACGACCTGCTGCTGGAGATGCTGGATGCTCAACGCATCCATCGCCCAGTCAAACCATCTCAGTCCTGGTCCCAGGGTGACAGAGACTCTCCCAACACCAGCAGCAGCGGCGGGGGTGGCGGCGATGATGAAGGCACCTCCTCGGCTGGTTCCAGTTCAGGACCTCAAGGCAACCACGAGAGCCCGAGGTGTGAGAACCTGAGCAGAGCGCCCACAGGTCCAGGTGTCCTGCAGTACAGGGGGTCCCATTCCGACTGCACCCCCATCCTATGAAGGTTTAAAGTCATTTTTATGGATGGTTTGTGTAGAGAATTTTTAAAAAAAAAGGGGTTGGTGAATTAAAGATGGTGGTTATAGTCGAGTTTGCATGAGAGAATATTTATAAATGAGGTGATTTTTATAGCTGTTTAGTGAGAACCTTCTCATTGGAATTGCACAGCAGTCTGAATTTCAGTGCTGTCAGCCTTGTACGCTGCCTTTAATGATACCTGTGATTTTCAATCAGCTTTCCAGTACCGCTTATCATTTCCAAAACAGCAGATGTTTAATGTGGTGCTCTGTTAGCTACGGTGATTTCAAACAATGAGCAGCTAATCTTTCTGTTTATTCGCCTCGACCAAAGTGCACTTCCTCTGTGATTTAAGAGGCTGATGGGCATTATTTTTTCATATAAAGGAAATAAAAGAGAAAGAATTACGCAGGAAATGATGGTAAAACTAGTTCAAATGAACGTGGAATTCGTTGTGCTTAGATGCCGGTATTGTTAAAAAGTAGATATCAGGTAATGTGGGTGAGCGCACCCAATTTTTTCTCAGATATATCTGAGAAAAAATATTTTAGTGATGGCAATTTTGAAGTGAGGAGTGGGAGAGGATGTATCTGTTGAATTTTAAGTTGGCAGAAATTGTGCGATCGAGTCCTAAATATCAGTTGGCTGTTTGTTGGGTAACGTCTGTGTACAGGAGGATTGTTCTCTGTGCTAACCTACGTCAAATCCTTTTTCCTTACTCTGTTATGTGGCCGTCCGTGTTCACTGTGCACGTGTGTGGTTAGCAGAGAGACTACACGCTGAAACAGGTAATAACGGTGTTAAAAAGGAAGTCTCCAAAATGAATATATGTCAACCTAATTTCTGTTTAAATTGCAGAATTTGATGCAGCTGAAGAAATGAAACACCTAAAAGGAAGTTTATCAGATTTTTTTTCTCTTTTAGTTGGCTTACAAATTCCTGAGGTCACGTATTCAAACTATTTTTGGGTCTGACTAACAGCCTGAAATGGTTTCAACACACAGTGAGGACAAATTTAACAGCCAGCTTGCCAACTTTAGATTAGCTGCAACAGTGCAGTCAGCCTGGGGGTTGTTTAGCCTCTGAATAATTTGCTACAACATGCCACTCAACGTTTTAGGCTTAAAATCTTGCATCAGATTAAATGCACATTTTGGACTGCATAGAGTATACCAATATACGTTATATATTGGTTGCACTGTGCAAAAGTCTTGATTCGACCCTCATTTGTTTTTATTTTTCTAGGAAAATGAGAAATAGATGCAGGGATTTGTTGGAACCTGTGAAAACAAGCATAAAAATACAGTATATAAGGTAAAAACAGAGTTTGTACAGATGTAATGAGCTTGAAAGTCAAGATTTGCTCTAACCACGTTTATTTTTTAAAGCAGCCTTAACTGGCTTAGGCAAACTTTCTTGTGATTTCTTTAAGTAGTCTTCAGGAATAGTTCTCTAGGCTCATTAAAGGACATTCAAAACTCTTCTTTGAATGTTGGCTGCTTTTTGTTCTCTTGTCTATGAAGACGACCTCACACTGTTTTGATAATTAAGGTCCGGGCTCAGGGAGAGACGCTTTCCAGATAGTATCAATCCCTTATGCTACTTTTGTGCATTCACAATTCCTTCAATTTTGAGAAGATCTCCAACCCCACTGGCTGAAATGCAGCCCCAAAACCCTGACAGAACGTCCACTCACATTCTCTGTTGTTCCTCTCTCCTGACCTTCTCGGCACATATTTAAAATGAATTGAACCAAAAGTTTAGGTTTATCAGCTCTTTTATCAGAAGGACTTCACTTTCCCTTACTGTTCATCTGCTAATCAGAAATATTACTTCTTCTTTTGTCCTCCAGCTTTTAAGTTTCCGGAATTTTGCAAACCCTGTTGGGATACGCTGGGATAGGTTTTTGGGAAATAGCTCTTTCGGAATCACCTTGTTGTTGCCAAAATACATTGTCTGCCTGCCAAACTGTGGTATTCTTGGTATTTTTGATATATTTGGCAAAAGAAATGGGAACAAATGATGATTAAACTTTTGCAACAGGATGCTAGCAACAAAGCTCAGGGGAGTTTAAAAGTGCTGCTTTGCTAAATTGTCTGTACTGTTTAGACACAGCACTGGTCCATCTCTTGAGTTAGGTGCCTTTTTTTATGCTTAATTGATTTATGGGTTAGTGTTAAAGAAAAAAATATGGTGTGAAAGAACCAATGTCCAAAGAAAAACCGAAAGACCTTCAGAAAGGTCAGAAAACTGAAATTACAAGGAAGTTTGGCTCCTTGGAAGCAAAATATATATAATACTTGTGTACACTGTAGATTAGTGTAAAAATGTCTTGGATGCCCTGGAACTCAGCTCAACACATTTTTTTTAAACACAATGAGATAAGATTTTTCAAATGAGGTTTTGGTGACTTCTTGTTTGCACCATCATTGGCTGTTTCAGTGTATGAGGCCCCGGCTCTGCCTGCTTCCTTCCTTCCTCTCTTTCTCTCTACGTTAATAAAGCCGATGCACACAGCACTCTGCTCACTAGGTGTACCTTTCTCTTAATTTTGTTTGCAGTCACACGGCATCTGATTAACTGCACACAGTCACACTTGGGAAGCAGGGATGAGTCTGTATTTGACACCTTTTGCTCAACTGATGGTTTGCTAGTTGCGTTTTTAACTAATTGTTAAAAAATAAAAAAATAAAGCAACTGAATCTGGGATCAAAACACAGCTTCTGTAGCGATAGATACGAGTCTGGCTGCTATTCTGCGTGCTTTCAATGCAAAACGCTGCCAGCCCAAACATGAAATTACCTGCAACCTGTGATGAGTGGAAACTGCAGGCAATTAAAATTTATGTTGCCAGGGGAGAAGCATTAAAAAAAAAGAGGCAGCTGCAGATTTGTGTCATTTGAGAGACGTGTGGAAAGCCTCCACACAGGATCAGAACATCAGATTTGGAAGTGTAAATCCAGCCAAACCTGCCTTGACTGTCGTTTGTTTACTGTGCATACAAATAAAAACAACAAGCATTGTTCATCACCGCCTTTCTCCTGACTCGATTTTCTCCAAATCAAAATCCACAGAAGTAAATATTTCATGTTTTATTACTTGCAAAGAGGGTATTCTCCATGAAGTTGGCATTAGCAAACTGTACATACATAAATAACCATTTTCATATTTAATTTTTTTAAAACAGATTCAGATGTCTCATCACCGCAGAATAATAATCGCAGTTATTACAAAGCACACTATTTCATGTCACAGCCATCTACTAAAACTACCAGTGATTGTTTGGCCTTCGTAAAAGCGAGAGACTTTCAAGTGCATGCTCAAACTGAAAGATAAAAAAATAACTGCCTGTACTCAAAGGCATTTCAAACAATGATATACAAATGAGAGCTCATCCTCTTTTTTTTTCATTTTTGTCCCAGTTGATAAAATACTAAAATTAAAAAAAAAAGAAAAAAGTACAAGCCTTGGCTTTTGGAGAAAGAAGTCTGCCATCTTGGCTGGAGGGCATCAGTGCAGTACCTTCAGACAGTGCTCGTGTCAGTGCTTTACGTGCAGGTTTTAGACTTCATTTCCAAATTGACAGGCAGGTCCTTCTGAAACGAGTCATCCTGGGGAAAAATACTCCTGCTGACCTGATTCTGTGCGGTTTTGGTCTTTTTTTTCCTCAGTCGATGTTCAAACGTGAGTCTGAAACTAATCTCTTCAGACCCAAGGCTGTAAATAATCTGCTACTCTGACGGCAGGCCTGCTCTTAAAATTTACAATATCCCCCCCACTCACAGTGGGGCTTCAGCTTAATCAATGCTAACAATCTAGTAACAGATTGAACACTAAATAAATAGTAGCAGCACTTGATATAATGGACAAAAATGCACAGTCGACTTTGGCTCCCAACATACAGTATATAAATAGTGCTTTGTTTTTCAATGATTTCGCAGGTTTCTCCAGAAACCTTAAAAATAAAATACTTATTTAAGTTAAAACGACATGAATTTTTTTTTCTTTTTTTTTCTGGGGGGGGGGTATCCAGAGTGTTTTTGTTGTTTGTTTGTTTTTTTAAAGGGTTGAGGTGACTCAGGTGAGTGGGTGGGTGTGCAATGTTTTGTGACAGCAGTCTTCATGTCACCTCTGAAATACTTCATAATACATCCCCAGCAAGGGGGAAGAGTTTGTTCCTTTAGGGCACAGGGTGAATAGGAAACATTCACATGAGTCAGTGGAGTCCTTGGCAAAGCAGTAGGTAGATTTAAAAAAAATAAATACAAAAATCAGCTGCTCCTCATATGGGCGGAGGTCCGTTGGTGTAGCGCAGCATGGGATGGAAGGAGCGAGCGAAGTTGTTGGCGTGGTGGCAGCTGTAGTCCTCCTCCGTCATGGGAACCAGACAGGCCAGGCCGATGAGGAGCAGGAGGAGCAAGTGGACGGGGAGCGCTGCCCTGAGGACCCGCAGCAGGAAGGACTTATCCTTTGAGGAGGAGGAGGAAGCTGATGAAGTGACGTCTGAGAGGTCAGAACGGGAGGAAACGCAGCCAGCGGCGCCTGGTGATCTGCTCCGGCTGCAGGAAGACCCAGACAAAAATTAAACACTGCAGAGAGTGGGGCTCAGATCACTAGTTGTTGGTTTTTAAAAAAAAAAAAAGTGCTAAAACTGCTTTATAGTGAAAAATGCTCCGACTTCATGAGACTATGAATTAATGACTAATATTGCAGATTCATTTAAAATGCCTGGAAAGGATCTGAATGGTAGAAAATTGTCTCCATAAGCTGTTCATCTGTCAAACACTCTACTCGTGTCGATTTTTAGCTTTTAGTTGCTAGCTGAAAGGCTTTTAGAGAAAACAAGACATCGGGGGAACTGTGGCGGGCATTTTTCACAGTTTTTTTTACATTTTATAGTTTGTAAATCTGACATTTAGAGCATGAAAACAAAATTATGTTGAACGGAAAAATAAGAAAGGATACAAAAAGAGTCACACTCATGTAGAAATTTGCAAACACACAAAACAGGCACTCACTTGCACGTGTAAGACAGCATTCACAGATAATGGACTGCGTCTCACCGTATCTCTGTGTGTATGTGTGTGTGTTTTGTTTTGTTTTTTTTGGGGGGGGGATTCTAGCTTCAGAGCTCACTATGTGAAAGTTCAATGCCACATATCTTTCCAAACAGAAGCAGGAGAAATGCCAAAAGCCTCTCTGGAGATTTCCACTGACAGAGCAAAAACTCTAAGGGAAGAACAGCATGTTCTTACTGCGACCCGTCATCATGGAGACAGAGGGTCAGACAAGCTGACATCCCAGTTTCATTGACCTCCATCGTACAGTGATGCAGCTGTGAGTAGGCATGTGCACGCTGCGCATGTGTGCTTCAAATTATTTGGCCACGCAACACCTTCTGCTCTGCTGAATTTCTACTTGGAAAATCTCAAATGTACAACATAAAGAAACTGTGAGGGGAAAAAGTACATTTAGTTTCTCTACAACCCTCATGGGAAAACTAGTTCAGGAGTTTAGGAGACTATGTGGTGTAAAGGGGGTGGGTTTAAAGAGGTCTGGAAAGGAAACGGAGGAGAAAATGGGAGTTAACGTGGAAGGAAGACCAGGAGTTAATGCATCATATCCTGTTGGAAAACTATGAAGGGAATGAAAGAGGAAGGAAAACAAAAAAGAAAAACAGAGCTAAAGGCATGACCGCTGGGGTGTGGGTGGGTAGGTGGGGACAGTGGGGCTCAGAGAGTGCCATCTAGTGGGCGAGGAGCGTACTACAAAGTCAGAAGAAGCAAAATGTGTGAAGGCAGTACTTCATGATGCCATTCAAAAAGCAGCAGGGCAAAGAGAAGCAGTGAAAAAAAACATTTAAAGGAGAAGGGGAGTGGCCTGATGGAGGCGATTCCCCTCTCGTTTAAGAGCCGACAACATGGTCTCGAGAATAAGGGAAGATCATGGAACGCCGGGTTTAAACCTCAAAGCAGCAGATCACAAACGCTGCAATCGAAATAATATGATAAATCTGCCAAATCTTTGACAAGGTGATTGTGCCTAACTGAGTTAATAAAAATCATGCTTGTTGGAAAGGTTTGGTTCCACCATCATCCCAAGTTTCTAGAGTCCAGGAGAGAGGTACCTGTGGCGCGGGCTGCTCTCAGGGTGTCCTGGGTGGGCCTGACTACTTTTGCCTCGGGGCTGAACCAGATAATGAGCAGGGAGGGGTAAAAGAAAGAAAACAATGTTTCAGTCAAAGGCAAATAAAGACAAAGCCTCAGATGAGAATAAAAACAACATAAAGAGAGCCATAACATTGCTAGAGAAATCATCATCAATAACCAAAGAGCAGCAGCGTAATCAATGACGGTGATTGACTTTTAGAACCAAGAAATCTGGCTTCTCAAAACTAAATCCAGAAAGGTCAAGCCCAAAAAAACCCTCACACGATTAAATGTTTTAGCTGTCATTTACAATAAAAGTTAATATTCAGGTATTTACACATAAATTAAAAATTACAGAAACGAAAAGCCAGGTTTTCTTGTGAGTTTTTTTGCAGATCATTATGATGTGGGGCAGCAAAAACATCTCAAAAAAAGGGAAGTGGGAGGGGTCAACTACATTTTCTTCCACAAACATGTTAGCAGAGCAAAAAAAACAAGTGGAAGGTAATGTGAGCTCAGCCCTCTCCCTTCTGGACATTATGAAGAGCGACATTACCAATCGTTTGCGGGTCTGGCTGGTCACATCTGAACCAGGTGCTGCAGATCTGCTAACAGGCAACGGCGAGCAATCCTGAAAACACACCAAAACAACAACATTCGCTCTGATGTTCAGATCTACAACAAACTAATGCCACTAAAGAAGTAATGAGCACTCAGTATCATAGAATAGAATTCAACTTTATTGTCATTCCAAATGTCACAAGTACAAGGCATATTTGCAATAATATATATCTGACCTGCTCTGCATCCATGGCCCCCAGTCTCCTCTCCAGCCCCTCCAGATCTGAGTTGACCTCCCTCTGGAGCAGCCTTAGCCTGTTCCAGATCACGTGAACCTTCTCCTGGGCCTCCAGACACTCGTTGCCCTGAGCCTGGGTCCGCTCTGAGGTCTGGGCCAGACTCTGAGGTTTAATGTTGACCAGCAGCTGAGCTGACAGCTCCTGAAGGGACGACACCTTCTGCTGCGAGTCCAGCAGCTCGCACTTGATTTGCTGCAGAACAATAAAGCAGACAGAGGAGTCACCCACACATTAGGAAGAAATTAAGACCTATTGTGCATCCTCAACTTGTTATTTCTAAATAAATCAGACAACTTCTAATTTTCTGTCTCCTCTGACTGTGTTATATAAAAAATTTGGGGGCATCTGCACGAAAGGTGCTACAAGTCTGAACAAATCAACCAAGACACGGAGTCACGTGTGCCCACTTTGTGAAGTAACACTGATCAGTGTAAAAAGGTAAAACAGTCGTATGAAACTCACACCAGGTTAGTCTACTACACACAGAGGCGGTTTTAAGAGAGACATACCATAAGTGTTTTATGATGAGCTCGTAACGTTTCGCGATTTGCTTTTTGGGGGATGGGAACCACCTCGTTCCTCCTGCGGTCAATGTTCTCCAACCATAGCAGCAGACCGTGACTCATCTCATGGAACTCCTGACAAATATAAACAGTTGTTTTTGTTAAGGCTGTCTCTCATGCCCAGTTTCGCAAAAGGAGGAAATAAAAGACTTTTCAATAACAAAATAATTGGTATTTATATATTTTTTAATATATTTAATATATGTGTGTCATATTTTCACTGTACACACAGTGAATATATGTGTGTGTGTGTGTG